GGGGGGGGGGGGGAGGAGGTTACAAGGCTTTCTCGTCGGTGGCGGACGGTTTGTTCTTTTTGGTCTTGTTGAGCTTCTGCACAACGACCGGTCCGTACTGGTTAGCAAGTTGGTCGCATTGTTGTTGTTGCTGAAAGGCCAGTTCTTGTGTGGCACAGCGACACCAGAAGAACGAGATAAGGTCCGGGTTGCTGTTCTTCGTCGCCAGGTCCAGCGCCAGGATGCGGTCCAAAATACGCTGGACCATGGACACGATCCGGGCCGAGGGATTCTCGACCTTCTTTAGCAACTCATTCAGCACCCCCTGCTGCTGAGGCAACATATTTATCGCGAGAAAAAGACCCCACCTACCCATCCACCCACCAGTCCGAAAGCGGACCTGAGCCACCAAGGGCGTCCCAGACCACCAAGGGCGTTCCAGACTACTGGTTCCGCGACCTATCGGGAGTCCGAATCCGCGACCCATTGGCAGTCCCTACCCCGGCGGAGCTCCGTAGACCGGCCCAGTATCCGGCCGGAAAGATGTCTGGCGCACAAAGAAGGCTGCACTGGATGCCGGCCGGAAAAAGGCTGTGGCTGGAGCAATGCAGGCGCTGCCGGCGAAGCCTGTGCAAACACGTGTGGTAGCGAATGCCGCAAATGCGCGTAGCCCACGCGACTGCTATGATGTACTTGACTCGCGGCCCCCGGCTGTCGACGGAACGCACGTCTCTCCACCCATAAATCAGACCCCGCCAGCGTCAACCACCCGCCTCCCGGGCACTGCGCTACCTCCAGACCTTTCTCTCGAGGGTCCGGGCCACGACCAAGCTCTCGAGGGGCCTGACCACGACCAAGCTCTCGAGGGTCTTCACGAGCACGAACAAGCGACCATTGCGACCGGTCTGCACACACCAACTCGGCCTCGCTCCATGGTACCGCCTCCTCGCCGAAGTCACTCGGTCCCAACTCGTCACTCGGTCCCAACTCGTCACTCGGTCTCAACTCGTCACTCGGTCCCAACTCGTCACTCGGTCCCAACTCGTCACTCGGTCCCAACTCGTCACTCGGTCCCAAGTTTTCGCTTCGCCGCAAGTCGTCGTTCCGTACTAAGTCGTCGTTCCGTCCCGGGTCGTCGTTCCGGTCTTGGTCGCTAAGTTTGTGGTCGCTGCGTCCTGGGTCGCCAGTCTCCTCTTGGCCGCAGTGGTGCGTTGCGAAGGGCACGCCTGCCTCCCGGTCGAAGGCTTCGAGTTCGGCGCCACGGTCGAAGACGAGGGCGCCACGCAGCGCGGCGGCTGGGCAAGCGGTTGCGAGTGGCGCGACTGAGCGTTGCAGTTCCGCAGCGCAGCCGAAGCTGAAGCCCTGGTCGTAGGCCGGGACCTGGTCCGTGGTGTCGTGATTGGCTCCGGAATACAGAATGCTTGTGGCGCTTCGATCGCGCGTGTGTGCGGTTTGAGAGACCCAAAGACTACTGCCCCTTAACCGACCACGTTCCGAGTGATACTCGGCCATAAGTCGCGAAATGGCTTCGTCCCCGACCTCCGATACCTCGTCACTGCTCGATTCCAACCCGTTCACCGTCGCCCCGGCCACCGTCGCCCCGGCCACCACCGCTGCTGCCCCGCTGACTGCCGCCCGTCCGTGGCCACCGGAGGACACACTTGAAAAATGCGGTGCTGATTGAAACACACTCGCAGGCACCGCCGTCTCCGACTGCCCCGCACGCACCTCCTTCCGGAAACACGTCGCTGCCGACGGCACACTTCCCGTCTGGCCTTGGCCCGTCTGGTCCTGGCCCCGGTCGTCTGGGCCCGTGTGGTCTTGGATTGTAACGGCTTGGTGTTCGCTCAGATAGGACTGACCGAGGACGCCGGATCGACTGCTTGAGGAGGCGCTGCTTTCTGAAGGTAACATACGCGGTGGCCGCTCCGCAACAGGACTAGAGTTTCTTGCGAGGCTGGACTCCGAACTCAGAGAACCTTTGAAGGGAACCAGGACCCCTTCGCTGCTAATGAAGCCCAACCCCGGATCGTCAACGAACACACTTTCTGTTTGCGACCCGGGCGCCCCGCCCGGGTGCTTGACCCGTCCTAGTCGACTCAACGGCGAACCCACACGGACTTGCGCGGCCACTCGGTCCCCCGTGGACCCCTCTGTGGTCCCGCTCGTTAACCCTCCAGTGATCTCAGCGACAGGACCGCCAGCGACAAGAGCTCCGGCGTCAGGGGCCGGCTCAGCTTCCGCTGGCACCTGTCCGTCGTGGTAGCTCATCACCGGCACCATCGGAAAACGCACTGAGTTCAACTTGAGGCCCTCGCTGGTCGTCGGCAGCAACTGCGTGCGCTTCTGACCTACGTGCTCTGGAGTGGAGAACTCTTCCAGTTCGTACCCGAGCATTCGTGTCCTGCGCTGCGAAGTATCCGAGGACGTATCTCCCTTATTCTCGTGCTCATTCCTATTCAGTTGCTCACTCCTTTTCGGTCGCTCATTCGTCATTTGTAGATCCATCTTGTGGTCACTTATCGTGTGTTCACTTATCGTGTGTTCGCTGCTGTGTTCATTAATGGGGTTATCATTAATCGTATGATCATTAACCGTCGCGTTGTTCTTTAATGGCTGGTTTGAGGTTACCTGGGCTAGTCTATGTTCCGCAATTTTGACAGCACTAAGGGCTACTGCGATGCCAGCGGCCGCCGCGATGTCTTCTACTTCAATGGGATCGGCGGTGAGAGCTCGGCCTGCGTCGGGCAGCGGTAGTGGTGCTCGGTCTACGTTGGGTGCTCGGTCACTGTACATGGGACTCACTACGCGAGAGGGTAAATGACCCTTTTTTTTATCCGTTCGTGGCAGGTGGACGTCTTCGCCGCCGTACTTGGATTTGAGTCCGAAGGTTGATTTCACGCTGACCGTTGACTTCATGCCTGCAACCGATTTGGTACTGATGGTCGACTTAAATGCACCTAGTTTCGACCGAATCGTCTTAAGCTGTGGTCTCGCCGGGTCCGTCCTTCCTCCCGCAACCTCCACCCTCGATGCGCGACTGGCGTACGCCTCTCTCTTGGCCGCCTCTCTCTTGGCCGCCGCATCGGGACTCCCGACCGGAGACTTAACCACGGGCATTAATGCAGTAACCCGACCCGTGTCTGTGCCTGGTTCTGAACCAATGTGTTCCAAACCACCAGGCTCTAAACCACCAGGCTCTATACCGTCTATACCACCCGGTGACAGACCATCCGGCGGAAGATTATGGGGTGCTAGGCCAACGGGTACCATGCCATTGGGTACTAGACCATTCGGTGCTAGACCCACTGGTACTAGACCATTGGGCACTAGACCCACTGGTACTAGACCATTAGGCGCTAGATCATTGGGTACTAAATCATTGGGTGCTAGACCATTGGTGTGTGCTAGACCATTGGTGTGTGCTAGACCATTGGTGTGTGCTAGACCATTGGTGTGTGCCAGACCATTGGTGGGTGCTAGACCATTGGTGGGTGCTGGACCATTGGTGGGTGCCAGACCATTGGTGGGTGCTAGACCATTGGTGGGTGCTAGACCATTGGTTGGTGGCAGACGGGCTGGACTACTCGCGATGGGTATTCCTGGATCCGTGCGACGGAACTCGGGGCCAGGCTTCGGCAAGTACGTGTTATCTGTTCTCTTGCGACTCAGCCACGAATATTCATCACTGGCAGTTCGGAGTCTATCATCATGTGTGATCTCAGGTAATAATTTCATGTTCGTCTTTTTGACTGGCCGAAAGGCGAGTGCAAGTCTTGAGTCCAGTCTAAATGAATTTCGTCCAACAGGCATCGTCTGCGGAAGACCTTGGACAAAAGGTACGCCCTGGAGGAAAGGGGCTTTTCGTTTAGTTGGGCCAGCTATGGCACCAACTTGAAAACTTCGGTTCGCCATTTTCGCCGAAATAGCGCCTGCTTCCAACTGTCTCCGATGGTCCATCGGGTGCAACAAGTGCTCAATGACTTCTTTGTTCTGGTCTCCGAGGTATGCCACCAAGGTAATCTCCGTCAGCCGGAAGTCCTCCGTCGGTCGAGACTGTACCACAATCGGCAGGTAACTCTCGTTCGTCTCCGTCAACACCAGCGACGACACCGCTCGGTCTAGCCGAGGGTATACCATGCCCCCCTGCAGGGACTCCTCTTGCCCAAACTTCGGACCAATCACTACAAACTCATTCAGCCATTTAGCCAAACAAACTGTGTGTGGCAACAAACTGTGTGTGACAACAAACTGTGTGACAAGTAAGCGCAAACGACGGGGTGGGACAGGCATGCAGTGGGCGTGGTGATCTACTTGAGCGGTTATTTTTAATGAAATCTGGTAACGTTCATGGCAGTACCGGCGTGCTGGCGGTGTGGTGGCTGCTGGCCGGCACGCTGTTGGTTAGGGCTGCCGACTTCCGCCGTGTCGAAGATCTCGTCGCCAAAGTGACCCTGCCCGCCGGTAGCGGGAAGACGCTTTGGGATGACCCGGCCTGCACCAGCGCGCTTATCCAGCACCCGTTGGTTGTGACCGGCGACCTCGTTGTAAAGTACGGCGTCCGGCCTGTCTGACTCTGCCCTACACCATCTTACCTCCTGTGCACTTTGCCTCCACCATCCCCCTGTACATCCAGCACTGTACCTGTACTTTCACTGCTGTACCTGCATCCCTGTAACTCCATCCCTATACTCTCCCTGTACCCGTCCCGTACAACCCGTGTGTGTGTCTGCTCAGTGGACGGATCCAGGTGTTGGCGAGTTCTAATATCACAGTCTACGAAGAGGAGGAGGCTGCGGCAGACACGGGGGAGGCCGCGGGCGACGTGCGGATAAAGCGGACTGCGTTGTCCAAGTTTGCGACGGAAAAATGTTCTCGCTCGGTGGCAGCGAACATGGCAGGCTTCCATGTGGTGGAAGGCGACCTGCACCTGCCTTACAGCAACCTGGTGATCGGGGGCAGTCATTTGGTGGTGGGTGGTCGTGTGGAATCGCACACTATCTCTCTGGACGGTGCGAGTACGTTGGTGGCAACAGCGCGGAGCTTTAAGGAAGACGGTTTCTCCTGCCCCTCCATGAGCGGTGCGATAAGTACCACGACCAGTGACAGGAGCAGTACTACGATCAATGACAGGATGGGGAGTGACAGGATGGGGAGTGACAGGATGGGGGTGAAGGTACGACATGGGTTGATTCACCTAAAAAACGGAAGTCGGTTGGTAGCGCGCGGGAGCATCGAGGCCCCGGCGATCGGTGTCGATCGAGGTTCCACGTTGGAGTCGTTTTGTAGCGAGATCGCGGCAATCGACTCCAGTGGGTCGGAGTGGGGCGACATTGCCGTGCTGGGCAGTTCCACTCTCGTCGTGCGCCAGGGACGCACTGTTCGCACACAAGGTTTGGTCGCCGGAGAGAATAGCAACCTTCTCATCGAGGCCGCCGAGGTCCAAGCCGACAATTTCAAACTGGCAGGCTACGCCGCTGCCTATGTCAAGGCCAAACTCAAAACAGAAGTCGCGCTAGTCACCACCCACAGTGTCCTCGTCCTAGGGGACTCACACGCACCCGCAGACCGCACAGTCGGTCGTGCCGGTACGCACACTCTTACACACTCTAGCACACACCCCGGCGCACACGATAACGCCAGCACGGCCGCGCTGGAGGCCCGGACAGGACTCATACTCGGCATCGGCGCCAAGGTCTTCGTGACGCCGCTGTCGCTCGCCCTCACTGACGCTCGCGAACTCAATCCCAGCGACTTGGTCCAGCTCGTCCAAGCCACCGACCCGAGCGTGAAGGCTCCAGGCGGCGTGGGGGGCTCCGCTTTAGGCGGTACCCTTGGCCGCACGCTCGACGTGTGCTCTGCTGACGACCACGACAAGCAACCCCGCAGTCCCGGCTTGGGGGTTGTTTCCAGTTTGGGCACCTCGAGCTTAGGCGGCTCTAGCTTAGGCGGCGCCCTTGGAGTCGGTTCCGGTCTTGGGGTCGGCTCTGGTCTTGGGAATAACAGTCATAACGAGATCCTGGCGGGTGCGGTTGAAATCGGCGAAGGCAGCGAGCTCGTGGTGCCGCACAGCCGACTTTCGATCGCTCAGCACCTCATTGTCGACGACTGGAGCGCGGTTGAGGGCCACGACATCCTGGCCAGCGCGTACGTCTCGGCCTCGAACTTTAGCGCCATCCGCGCACACCGCAAATTCGGCGCTGGCGCTGGCGGATGCCGCCTGGTCGCAGGTTCGATTCTCGCTGCCGGCGACGCCGACGTTGCCTGTTCCCTTGTTGTCACACTCGGCTCACAGGCACACATCGACAAGCTCAAAATACGCACCCACGACCGCGTCCTGGCACCTACAACTGGACCCACCACGACAGAAAAGAAGCCGCAACAGGACGACGAAGAGGGAGGGGCAGAGGTCGGCGGTGGATGCGGAAGCCTCGTACCGGCGTTGGCGGTGTCACGGAACAGCGACGTGACGGGTCGCGTGGCAACTGTAAACGGGACGGTGTTTGTGGACCGATCTTCGTCGTGGAGTGCCCAGTCGTTATTGCAGTTGGCTGGTGGCTTAATTGTAAAACGCGGGTCATGGGTTAAAGTCGGACACGATTTCCAGCAGACGCAGTTTGTCGAGCTGGAAGGCGCCTCCGAACTGGATGTGGTCACTAACACGGCCTTTGCCGCAGATCGCATCCGAGTCAGTGACAACAGCCGCCTTGCTCTTGAGGGCAAGACCATCAACACAGAGTACGGGAGTGCGCACGAGTTACGGGAGGGTGGGGGGTGACACACATTTGGGGTGACACACATTGGGGGTGATACACACACACGTTTCTTCAGACTGATGTCGGTGCACAGTCGGTCTCGAGCCGTGTTGCGGGGTGAATCGGCCTCGGTTTCCGAGGACGTGTCTGTGGAGGAGATGTCTCGGCTGTCAGTGCGCGGCGGGATGGTGGTGGGGGGCGTGTTCTCATCGTCTGTTCAGTCGCATAGTGTGTTGGGTGATCATTGTTCAGATCGCACGAGTTTGTCTCGGTTGGAGTTGAAGGATGGGAGTAGTGTAAAGATTGGATCTTCTTTACGACGTGGGACGGAGTTGTCTGCAGAGTTGTTGACGGGTAGTGAATTGAGGATGCCATGCAGTGCTAAGGAAAGCCAACTGCATCTTGAGCTGAGCGAAGACTCAGACTACCATGTACATCGCAGCTGGGTCGCCAGCGAACGTCCTATCAACCTAGCCGTACCGCCGTCTGAAAGCTCCGTCGTCAAGTACCTCACTCCCAAAAGCTCGGTTGACAACTTCAACTCCAACAAGACTTCAGCGCTAGAACGTAAAACAAAGGCCCTCGGTTGGCAATCTATCAATGCGGCTACAGGAGCTGCCGACCTTACACCTGTGCCCGACATCATGCTCATTGGAGACCAAGCCTCTGGCGTCGCAGTCTCAGCCGCCGCAGTCTCGGGAGACGTAGCCGGGAAGGATGGCGACGTAGCCGGGAAGGATGGCGACGTAGCCGGCGGCTCGGCCAAGAAAGGGGCCGCTCCGGCCAAGGGCCCCGGGGGAGGAGCCAAGCCTGAAAACAAAACGCAGGGCAGATTCGCGGGGACGGACGATGATGCGAGCAAGGAAGGAGGAAAGGACGGAGGAACGGAAGGAGCGAAGGAAGGAGGTCGCGATGGTGGCAGGGACCGCAACCGGGAATCGGAGCGAAATCGGGAGCTAAAGAGAGACGGTCGGGGGTCGGGAGAGCGAGGGTCTGCCGAGCTAGACACACCCCTTACGGGTAAGCATCGCCAGGAACGGAACCAGGACCGAAGTCAAGAACGTGGAAGTCAGGAGCCTACCACAGCAGAACCCCCCGTGCCAGCTGGAGGTTCGAGCGACCCTGAACAGTACTCACTCACAGCACGATCGTTATTGAACGAGCACGACCACAACGGCACGAGAAGAAGCCGTTTTCTCAGGGACCCGGCACCGCGGCGGAGCGCCAAAGAAAGCAAACGGCGGAAGCGTGAAGGTGAAGCATAGTAACTCCTTTCATTTTTGACTCCGTACCCGCACTTACCTGATAAGAATCGACCTGGCTAAATCACTGGCCGCGTGGATGCTCGGCCAGGCCAGCCCTGTACAATTCAGCCTGGCGGAATCATAGTTAGTTAGCTAGTTAGTTAGCTAGCCGTTCTTTGCTCTCTTTACAACATATTGTGTTCTCCCCATCATAAACACATATTGTGTTTATGATGTCGGAGCGTTCGGTGACGCACGAGTGTTCGGTGACGCACCAGCGTCGTCCGTGAACTGTGTGCGCGCAGGCAACCGACTCGATGTTGTCGTTCCGGTGGAGTGCAATACCGTCCCGGACTATGTGGACGTTGGGCAGAATTTTTGGGCCGGGGGGGGCTCGAATTTTTAGGTGCGGGTGTGGTTGCTCCTTGACGCGATGTCTTCTTCTGTGTATCGAACTCCCAAGCGCGAGCGAAAACGCAGTGCCGAGCAGCCGAAGACCCCGAGGACGGGACTTCCCAACGATGATTGGTAAGCTTGGTTACGTCATAGTGCCGGTGGTGGGTCACGTGGTACAAGTGGTGGGTCACGTGGTACAAGTGGTGGGTCACGTGGTACAAGTGGTGGGTCACGTGGTACAAGTGGTGGGTCACGTGGTACAACTGGTGGGTCACGTGGTACAAGTGGTGGGTCATGGTACGGGTGGTCGGAAATAGTACAAGTGGTCGGAAGTAGTACAAGTAGTGGTCATGAACCAACTCGGGCAGTTTGCAGGAACTTGGAGAACTCGATCATCCTGTGGAGGCCTCGTTGCGCAGGTTTGACCTTGACCACCGTTTCGGACCTTGTCGTGGCATAGGTCGGACAGCACGTTTCGCGCGCGGTGCCGGGCTCGACATACGTGATTACGATGAGCTTTTCACCTCGCCCGTCGCGAATGACAGATGCGTCTGGGATCAAGTGATGAAAGGGGGGATGTAACCATGGCGAGGGAGTTTGGCCATAGCGGGGGAGGTTACCGCCGCCGCGGGGGAGGTTACCGCCGCCGCGGGTTTTAGTTTTTATTCTTCTCCGCTACACGAATTGACTGCGCGAATTGGCGGCTGAAATCCAGGCACTTCAGTCACCAACCGTTGCCTTCTATAGTTGCCCGAAAGTTGGAACCCAGGTAGTTGAGTTGTCGTAAAGAAATTGCCCCCGTCTGTGAAAGTTAAAGAAGAGTGTTTCTAAAGAAGAGTGTTTCTAAAGAAGAGCGTGTGTGTGCGAGAACTAATCAATGGCAAGGGGCCGTCACCAAAAGGATAAGTTGTACCTGATTCATGGCGAGCTGTCCTGCAGCGCCAAGCCGAGTACTGAGGACCGACGCGTGGCGGTGGTTCCTTTCGACTATTGCAAGCTCCGACTGAAACCGTTCGACCCGGCAGAGCAGGTCTTGTCTGACAAGTCTGGTTACGTAAGTCTGCATAGAGTGTTCCCCCCTTCCATAGAGTGGTCGTCCCTTCCATAGAGTGGTCGTCCCCTGCGTGGAATGCTCGTCGCTTTTAGTTCTTTGAGAAAGAAGAGTTGTTAGCCTGGTTAAGTGACTACGGCAAGAATCCGGTGACGGGAGAAGCTGCGAGCCAGAGGGATTTTTTCACCGTACAGATCACGCGTGATGAGCAAGGCAATCCATGCTGTCCGGTGACTGGCAAGCGGTACGGTATGGGTGACAGTTACCTGGTGAATAAGCGGAATGGCAATTTGTACTGTGACAGTGTGATTTCCGAATTGTGTCGAAAGACGGGCTGCTGGGTTGATCCGGTGGACGGCACTGATATGAAGCTGAAGAAGGATTTGGTGAAGCTGCCGCAGGACACATTTGGCGTTCTTGAGGAGCGTCAAAACTTAGTAAAAAAGAAAGGACGAAGAAAAGGTAACTCCTCGGCTGCAGAACCTACTCCGGATGGTCCTGTCGAAAAAAACTCCAGGACACTGGGGACTGGACGGGAACGATCGGGGTTGGCAAAGCGGGTGCTGAGTGAGTTGGAAAACAGCACAGAGAATTACGGCGAGAAATTGGCCAAGTTATTGCGACGACCAGGTGATGGTGGACGGGAGGGGTATTTGGACCCCATTTCGGGTGAGTTAAAGAAGGTGAAGAGTAGGTTATTTTCGACAGGTATAGCTGCACAATCGGTCACCAGCACCTTGGTTAGTAGTGAGGGCTCGAATCAGAGTATGCAGACCATGACATCGCGAGAATACCGCAGTCTATGGTACGACTGTGTTAGAAGAAGTAAAAAGAATCTTTACATTACTTTCGACACCATGATAGATGAATCTTTGAGATGTGTTTTCTATGCACATAAAACGCCTGAAAACTCCCACCAAGTATTGATCAATGCTACCAAGAACTACTACACGATCTTCCACCCGGTAACGTTCAACCAATCCCCCGCTCTCTTGTTAACGGAGCACACTGAGCACTTTGATGACATAGAGGAAGAATTGACGAAGCTTGAAAAACCTAACAATCACATTCGCGCTGGTACGATTTTGTTATGGAAAGAACATGATCACCTAATCAGCCAGTCGGATGTGTCAAAGAGTTTTCTGATGAAGCAGAGAGTTTCCAGCGATTCCCCAATACGGTCCGGTTTGCTTTTCACGACTCGAGGATGTCTTGTTGACGACGAAATGCATTTGACAATTTTGGGATGTTGTGGCGATGTGCCGACGTTGGAAAAAATTGCGCGGAAAATATCTAAGGGAAAGGCTTCTGGGGGAGAGGCCGTTTCAAAGAAAGAGGCCTCTTCTTGCGGGTTGCGTGGTGCGTGTATTCATGAGAATCCGTTTGTTGGTGCGGAGAAGCAAGCGATTAGCACTTGTTTGTAGCCGTCAGGGAATACACCACCGGAGGTTTTTTCAAGGCCTTTGACATCGCCTGTGAGGCAGATGGCCGTACCTTTTTGGGCGCGTATTTTGACACCGTTGTCGGGCAGAGATAAGACACCATCTTGACCTTCATTAACAAAGACATAAACCACACGTGTGTGCAGACCACCAGGCGTCCATCGGATCTTGCTACCCAGAAGAAATTTGCAGAGAAACAAAGTCTTAACACAACTGATATCGGAGGAAGCCATGGCCGCCAATCGCCGACAAACACGACCCAGACACGCATCTGAATCCGGATTCAATTGACATACCCATGTCTCGCCGCTCAGCCGCTGTCCCAATGGCAACTCGGAAACGTTTTCGTATCCCAACTCCTCACCCAACTTCTTGATCTCCACCAACTCCGAATACGTCACAATTCGACTCGCCAACACCACACGACGGTCCGTTGCACTTATCGACACCACATCAACCTCTCGACACCCATTCCCCACCGAGTCGATTCGCAATGAAAACAACACGTCCCGACCCGCCCTCTTCCGCGCACAGTCACTCGCCGCGTCCACCGATGTCCCACCAGGCACCATCTCCGACGGCCCGGCGTCAACATGCATCACCTGTCCCTGCATCACCTGTCCTTGCATCACCTGTCCTTGCATCACCTGTCCTTGCATCGCTTGTCCTTGCATCGCTTGTCCTTGCATCGCCTGCCCCTGCAGCGCCTGTCCCTGCAGCGCTTGTCCTTGCACGCTTGTCCTTGCATCGCTTGTCCTTGCATCGCTTGTCCTTGCATCGCTTGTCCTTGCATCGCTTGTCCTTGCATCGCCTGCCCCTGCATCGCCTGCCCCTGCATCATCCCTTGCACGGGGCCTTGCATTTGCCTGTCCCGCGACATGCTTCTGCTCACCATGAGTCCGCTGGCCCGATTGATGGTCTGTTGTTGCATCATCGCTTGTTGTGCCATCGCTTGTTGTGCCATGCCTTGTGAGTGTTGGGCCATGAGTTGCGCAGGATGCATTTGGTGGGGCGATCCGGGAGCGGTGCCGGTGGCGGATGTGGCGGCGCTGTGTAGGAGGTGTGCGGAACGTGAGACAGATGCGCTCTTGAACCCAGGACGGCCTTCGCCGGGTCGGTCCGAGGCGAGGGTGCGGCTGTCTGAGAATTGCGCCGGGTCTCCGTGCAACTGTCGCGTTATTGCACCCACATCGATCCGTGGCGGGCTCATGGCTCGCGTCTCGGCGCAACCGGATCGTAGTTCCGGTTGCGTTCGCACCCCTTCACCACGACCCGACTCCGTCATGGAACCCGGACCCCCGGTCATGGGACCGCCCGCCGCCATCGGACCCCCGGTGACGGGACCCGGACCCCCGGCCATGGGACCCGGACCACCCGTCATGGGACCCGGACCACCCGTCATTGGACCGTTCATGGCCGGCCCGGCCATGGCGGGGCCCGCGACCATCTGGCTGGCAGGGGGCTGTCCGCGAAAGTCGAAGGCTCTACGACGTAGCGGGATGCTCGGTAACGTGCTCAGGTTCGGCCTTCCCGGCTTCTCCAACAAGCTTGAACCCGGCCGCTTGGTCAAACTACCTGGGTTCAAGCCGCCGAAAAAGCCGTACGATCCCACCTCTACCCAACGCTCGTCTTCCGCATACTCTAAGCAAGCTGCCGATCACCAAGGGGTTCGATCACCAAGGGGTTCGATCACCAAGGGGCATCACACTATGTGTGTGTGTGCCGAGAAGGTGTATTTCTTACCTGGGTTATGGGCGGAATGGTTTACGGATCTGAAGCAGAGCTGGGCGTAGATGTCTTGGATAAGCTGTTTGACATAGCGGGGAACGCGGTTGTCGCTGAGTGCGTCTTCGACTTGGCCGCTGAGCTCGTCGTCCATTTTCCCCACAGTTAAAATGAATGTTCTTATTCCGCAGGAAAGTAGTTGTAGTGGGATGTTCGCAAGAGGCTGCGGCGCAGAGGAGTAGTGAGGCCAAGACTAGTTCCGAGACCGGAGGTAGTCCCGGTTTTCTGGTTAGTCCAAGTCGTTCAGAAAGCAGTCCAGGACGGCGTCCGGGTAGTCCAGGACGGCGGGCGGGTAGTCCAGGACGGCGTCCGGGTAGTCCAGGACGGCGGGCGGCGTGGCAGGGGATATCATGCATAAGTCAGAGTCCGACGGATCCGGAGAGGATTGCGGTAATCGCGGGCAGTTCGATCGTGCTATACCGATGCACGGACGCGCTATTGCAGCCCACTGCTCGCTTCGAGAAGACGACGTCCCCTCAGATCCGGTGGCGGTATGTCAGCTGGGGGGTGGAGGATGGGCAGACGTTGGTGGTCATATCGGAAAATAGGAAACACGTGTGTTTAATTAACTTATTGGCAGCGGCCAATACAGATGGCGTCGTCACTGAGTCCTCACCATCCGTTGGCATCAAACCACCGCCACCACAACCCAGTCCGGCTGTTAAGCCTAAAGCCCTTATGGTCGGTGAACCGGTGCCCATCAGCCAAACGGCCTCTGGCAATCGAATTACCAAGCTCGAGACTGACCAAAATATGATCCGAAAACTTATACCCAATCTCATGTTGTCCTTCCCACTACCCCTCAACAACGCTTACAACATCGGACATGCACAAATCGGCCGACTACTACTTGTCTTCGATCCATCACCTACCATCGCCGTTATCTCCTCGGGACAAACGCAAATTACTACTTTCATCCATCTACCCATGCTCAAGACACCCACTTGTCTACACACTACCAGTGCCGACCAAACTGCTGCCTTCTCCGCAGACCGCGCCAACGACCGCGCCACTGACCGCGCACTCGAAACCGACCGCCCCCGCGTTCGAACCGGCGCCACGCAAACCGGCACCAGAACTGACCCTATTAATGCCTTCACCGACACCGGCCAAACGGAAGCTAACGACGAAGCTGGTGCACCCGGCCAGAAAGCAAGTTTGCTACGCGATAATTCGCAACGCACGGACTCTGGACCTCTTGACTCCGACCCCGATCGTACTGATCCCGATCGTACTGATCCCGATCGTACTGATCCCGATCGTACTCATCCCGATCGTACTCATCCCGATCGTACTGATCCCGATCGTACTCATCCCGATCGTACTGATCCCGGCCGCCCGGACGTGCATACTCCGACTGGCGAAGCCGGGCGGAATGAGGTGATGCCGGGTGGGTGCTCGATAAGTGATGCCCCTCGGGGTTTGCGTGGGGGATCGCTGAGTCGTTTGCGAAACAAATCGTTGAGTCGTCCGGAGTTGAGTCGTTTGCATGAAGGAATGTCTCGACACAACAGCGACGTTGTGGTGTCGCATTCAAGTAGAGGTGAAGGCTTGATGCGGATATTAGATTTACCTGAAGGTGTTTGGCCGGCTGTAAATGCTCCGGTGTTTTCGTACGGGCGAGGGGAGGGTCGTTCGGAGACATCCAGTGGTCGTTCACTGGCTCAGATTTTGGACGTAAAACAGACTAAGACGAGCGAGACAGATCGGCAACGTATTAACGCCGTCTTTGGTAATCGAGGCGTTGTATGGAGCGACTTTGATCGCGTCTCCGGCGCCATTCTCGCCATGCTCGGTACCGGCATGCTCATGGCAGTCCAAGCCGTCCCACCAACAACTAGGGCGGGCGCCTTCCCCACTTCCTACGCTGAAGCCTATACCCTTAGCGAGCCTGACCTGCCGCTGCTGCAGTCTGGGCAGCAACTGTCTGGACAGCAACTGTCTGGGCAGCAACTGCCTGGACAGCAACTGTCTGGACAACAACTGTCTGGGCAGCAACCGCCTGGACAGCAACTGCCTGGACAGCAACTGTCTGGGCAGCAGCAGCAGTCGTGCAGACAGCCGCCGTCGGGACAGCTGCCGTTCGGGCATTCGTCGTCCAGGCAGCTTTCCGCTCAACTTTCCGGTCAGGCTGGGTTCAATTTGAGTCCGGGGAGCGTCATTTCGGGGAAATTGCGTGCGTCATCGAGCACAAACTTCCAGCAGCTGGCTGGCGCACCCGTAACGACGGGTGGCCGCGGTAGTCGGAAATTGGCTGAGGAGATGCAGCGTCGTTTCATTGGTCGGATAATTGGTTACGAGCAAGTTGAGAATGTGCACTTCGTTTCTTTCTGTATCGTTAGTCGAGAGATCATTGTCGCGCGTAAAGATCCGCCACTACTTGTCAGTTACCGTTGCTCCAATTGGGCAAGTGTTGGTGTCGCCGCCACACCACTGTTCGCGGTACCGTATTTTGCACACGCAACACACTATTGGTCCAGCAACGGTGCCTTCCTGTGCGTTGTCGTTCCCGACGACGATGCACCACACACAGCCGGCTCGCCGAACGGATTCCAGCCCAGACCCATTTCTGTACAATCCGACCCAGATTCCACCGACCCCAACGCCGCCCGGACCCCCGATGGCCGGAGTTCTCTCGATGACCAAAGTCCTCCCGATGACCAGAGCCCCCCCAATGGCCAGAGTCAGAGCCCCCCCAATGGCCAGAGTCAGAGCCCCCCCAATGGCCAGAGTCCTCCCGATGACCAAAGTCCGCAAAGCCCAAGTTTAAAGGAAGGTCGAAGTTTAAAGGACCAAAGTGCCGAGGGGGCCGTGGGACCGGGAAGTAGCACGCTATATTGGTACACAAGGGCAGGCGAGTTGACACAGACATTGCGTGTACCTTCTCGGAGTCCGCCGGTATTGTGGGCATCAGATTGCACGAAGGTGTTGATAGGTGTGCGCAATTTATTGAGTGTGTACGACGTCGTAATTCCAGGCAATTGTTTGGTCTCACCGTCCAGTCGGGTGGTGCTACGTGGCAAGACTAACTATTACCGCTACGTGGACGCGGGCGCCATGCCTCGTCTAGACCTGTTGACGAAGCC